CCTGTGCATACGTGCCCAAGATCCTGAGAGGAGAATGGAGGAGAAGGGATTGCGGCGTGGCCATCCCCCCGGGGGGGGGTGATTTCTCACTTTCTGTCTCTCTGTCTCTTGTCTTTCTGGTGAGTGCACACGCCCTATAGCAAAAACCTCTCGAAAAGAAGAGGCAGCTTTCAAAAAGGAGTATGTTATTAAATGAGGCATTTTCTGTACTCCTTCCTAAGGCACCAGGTGGGGAACATGTTTTCTAAACTAGAACTAGGACGTGGAATATGGAATCGATCCATCCTCCTCCCCTGAAGGGCTGTCCACTGGTTAATGAATTTTAAAAACAAGACTAATAAACAAAGTCCACACACACTCCCCCCAAAACATAAGGAAGAAGAAGAAGAAAAAAAAAAAAAAGACAACAACAACAAAAAAAGATGAAGATGTCCCAGATTACTCTCTAGAGTGGAACCAGGGAGCAGCTTCAACAATTCAGATTAGTCTGTTACAGAGTCATCACAAGCATGCCTTGCTTTTAAACAAAACAATAACATTTTTTGAAACAACAAAATAAAAACTAGTACTGATCACTTTTCTGACAGTATACAATTACTCAAAATTAACTGGTATCAGAAGAGGGGAGGGAGTCATACCTATGGGCCTTTTCTCCCAGGAGTGCATGGGGAGAGGTGCAGGGCATTTGTCATTATTGCAAAAACAAACTTTAATTTTTAATCTTTTAGTATGATGCCGACACCAGCTGTGCAGAAGGGCTCTGGAGAGATGCTCATAGCAGCACACACCTGCGGCTCTTCCTGGGTTCTGGAGGCTCCAGGGCAGCCGGTGTTGCTTCATCAGATACATTCCTTAGGCCTTTCTGTGTGAGTGCAGAACATGCCACAGACTTGACAGCTTTCAGGTCACACGCCAGCTTTCCAGCAGTCTCTGGAGTGATGGCTTCTGTTTGTTCTTGGCAAGTTTCTCGGTAGTAGAGGGATCATCTCTGAGATCAGTTTGGGTCCCAACAAGCAAGAAACGAGTCTCTGGACAGTGAGGAGTTATCTCAGGCACCCACTTTTCTTCCACATTTTCAAATGAGGACGGAGAGACCACTGAAAAGCAAACAGAAATACATCTGTTTGTGGATAACTCAGCGGTCGTGATCTGTCATAATCCTCTTGCCCTGCAGTATCAACAAGCCCAAGAGTATATGGCTCTCCACCAGTCATAACTGTGACTGCAGAGTTGTCAAAAACAATTGGTACATATTCAGATGGAAATTTGTTGATTGTGTAGGCTATCAGGAGACATGTTTTACTAACAGCACCATCACCCACAACAGCACACTTAATTGTCTGCATTGCTGAAATAGTTGTGTATCCACTTTAAATATTTCCAATTTGATGCTGACCTCAGCTCCTCCACCTGGGTGTTGGCCTAAAATGGCTTGTCTGAATATTTCAGGAGTCTCCAAATACATACTTTTTCATTGGAAACTTTGGAGAAAGAGCTCGGGGCTTAGAAGTGCTCAAGCAGCACTGACCTTGTAATTTTGCTTGGCCAGGGTAGCTTCATCCCTTCCAGACTTCTGACTAGTTGGAGTTTTAGTTTGACCTCACCCATCCTCCACTCTGCCTCCAGAAGTAGGGGAGTGTCACCGTGGAGTGCTGTATGTCAGTGATGAGCTAGTGTTTTGTTCCCCATGCAAATATTTTTGCTAGAACATTTGCAGCTACAAGTCACTTTTCAGGGTCTAAAACCAACTTCAGGAGAATGTAACATATGCCAAGAGGCAGCAAGGAAGTAATCAGAAAAACAGGTTGCACAAGACACTAATTTAGGAATCTGCAGTAGAATAAGCACAGTAGAATTAGCAAAGTATCAGAAACCCAAGAAAAAGTTTCAGAAAGATCAGCCAGAAGCTCACTATGATCTGAAAGAACAAGGAGGCAACCTCATGAAATAGAAAATGAATGAAATTTGAAGATTAAAATTCTGGCTTAGAATTATGGTCTCTTCACTCTTCACAGACCTAGAAAAGACAATCATAGAACTTGTCTGGAATCATAAAAGACCTCGTATTGCCAAAGCAATCCGGTGCAAGAAGAGTGGAGTGGGTGGCATCTCACTCCCTGACTGCAAAATATACTATAAAGCTGTGATAATCAAAACAGCATGAGCATGGTGTTGGCACAAAGACAGACAGGAGGACCAATGGAATGTAACAGAGACCCCAGAAATAAAACCCAAAACTTACAGCCAACTGATTTTTGACAAAGGATAACAGTCAATCCAGTGGAAAAGGAAAACCTCTTTAGCAAATGATGCTGGGAAAACTGGGTATCTCCCTGCAGAAAGATGAAACTAAATCCCCGTCTTTCCCCATTAACAGAAATTAATTCAAAAGGGATCAAAGATATGAACCTAAGACCCCAGACTAAAAAACTACTGGTGGGAAACACTGGGAGACATGGGGGTAGGCAAAGATTCCTTAAATAAGATCCCCAAAGAATGGGCAATAATCCCTAAAATAGACAAGTGGGATTATGTCAGATTAAGAAGTTTCTGCACAGCAAAGGACACAGTAATTAATGTGAATCAACAACCCTTAGAATGGGAGAATATTTTTGAGACTGTGCCTCAGATAAGGGACTGATAACCAGAATACAAGGGAACTCAAGCAACTTACCCGAAAAAAAAAAAAAAATTATTAACCCAGTTAAAAGATGAAAAATGAGCTGAACAGAAACCTCCCTAAGGAAGACATACGAACAGCCAAAAAGCATATGAGGAAATGTTCAACATCCTTCATCATAAGAGCGAGGCAGATTAAAACCATAATGAGATACCACCTAACCCCTATTAGAATAATGAAGATTAAAAATACAAAAAGTGATTAAGTGTGGGCAGGAATGTGGTGAAAGGGGAATTCTCCTACACTGCTGGTGGGAATGTAAACTGATTCAGCCACTGTGGAGAACAATATGGAGGTTCCTCAAAGATCTACAAATAGAACTACCATGTGATCCAGCAATCTCACTTCTGGGTATCTACCAAAGGACAGGAGAACGCCAGTCAGAAAAGTGCTTGCACATCAATGTTTATTCCAGCATTACTCACAATTGCCAAGACATGGAACCAATCCAGATGTCCACAAACAGATGAATGGATTGAAAAGGTGTGGCATGTATACTCTATGGAATACTCTTCAGCTATAGAAAACAAGATGCTGGCATTTGATAGAAAATAGTTAAATATGAAAGATTATTGCTGAGTGAAGCAAGCCAGGCTTTGAAAGAAAGATATTGCATGTTTCCACTTAATGTATACTGAATATCCACACTTGATGGTAGAGATCGAAATATTGGAGGGCATAAAAGCAATGAAAATAGTTACAGATGCTGAAGACAGTGTGGAATGGCGTGGGGGAGAAGAAAAGAGGATAGAGAAGGATAACAAGAGAACAAATAGGCATGACATTAGTGGGACACAGAAATGGTTTATTACTGTTGGTGATAACATGTATGGTATTCTCAGTTTGACTGGTCTGAGAAGTATTTCATGTTGGGTAAATACTCTGTACAAGCCAAATGATGTATAGTGATCAGATGTTTAAAAAAAAAAGAAGAATGATTAAAAAAGTAAGTAAAATAATAATCTGAATAAAAAGGAAAGCTATTTACTGATAGTGTTGTGTATAGTAATGTCTTTATCTTGACTGATATGCGTGGTGATCATGCTGGGAAAAGATGTTATACACTGTAAAGATATGTGATTAAATGTAATATAAAAATAATAAATAATCGTCTTATTCTTAAAAAAATAAGAGTTTGTGTTAGTAGGGAAAAAGAGAATTATGGTCTAACAAAACTGTAATATCTTGGGCAAAGTCATTAGATTTTTCTAAACATCAAATGTCTTGGGGTTAATGAAGTAATATATTTGAAAGTTCTTAGAAACATCTCAGTTATGCAGATATTAGTCATCAGCACAAGGCTAGCCTTGCCCGGAAAGTCCAGTCAGCTCATTCCCGTTACTGGATTCAGGGCTGTTGTCTGGACCTGACAGTGAGAGCAGGCAGTGCTGGAAACCGATGGGGTGACCCTGTAGGACAATGGTCGAGAAGGCCTGCTGGGCAGACTCCAGCAGATGCGTCCTGTCGGGCAGACTCCAGCAGATGCGTCCTGTCGGGCAGACTCCAGCAGATGCGTCCCGTCAGAGAATGCATGGAGCTCTGAAACACTTACAGAAAAGGCCAGAATCTAGTTTTAGAATTCTACTGTTACCTATTATAGCAACGGGGTAGTCCTCTACCCTAACTTAATAACCTTTTGAGTGTTGTCTTATCTGGTTATCTTAGGTAGCAGTTACTTTATAGCTTCTGCTGAAATGACTAAAGTGGCTAACAGTTCAGTGAAGATACTTTTAGTAGTTCTTCATACACTATTTCTTGTCCTCCAGGTATTTACTTTCCTGACTTTATTGTTTGATATCACTAGGATTCTTTGAATTTTGTCATGTATCTCTATAAAGGCTGGATCCATCAATTTCAATAATCTTATACTTACCCTTCAATAGGCCCAGCTTCTTCACACCAACCTTTGAAGAACCTTCGAGAAAGGAGAAGCACAGACCTCCCTCTCCTAGACATGCACGCTGTCACCCGAGAAGAAGGAGAAGGGATGGAAACAACCGATACTGAGTCGGTGTCTTCTGCCAGCACTTACACACAGTCGTTGGAGCAGCTTCTCAGTTCTCCTGAACCCAAGCTCGGTATGCTACTCTGTCTAAATAGTCTTGTCCTGATTTAATTAGTGTTACTCTTAAGTTACATGCTTTTTTGTGCCACAATAAAATTCCTCTCAATTTTCCACCACCTGTTAAAATGGAAATTGTTCCTACAGTATGAAACAAATCTCTTCTAAAATAAAATACTAGGTCTGCACTTGAGCCAGAAGGAGATTGAAATTCTGTCATCGTATTAGAAAAGTAGGATAAATGGTCCTCTCATCTTTCAAGAAACTTGACATAGCAAAATATAAGCAAATATATATATATATATGTAAATATAGCAAAATTTCAGTTTATTTTAATTCCTAAATGAATATTACTGTTCACAGTTCAGAAGAATCTGTTTGCCATCTTCCCAGGTTTCAGGATCACCTGTGGGGTGGGGCTGCAGGTCATGGTTTCTTGATCATGGAAGCTTCATGGTCAAGAGCAGCAGACCCCGGGATTAAAATCAGCCTTGCAATTTGTGCCAGAATTACTTGGCACCTGAGTCTGTTCCTTCATCTACAAAATTTGAGTAATGATCTCTGTCCCATTATCATAATAGACTTTTATGAGTGCCCATGAGCAATAAATATTAATGTTTTCCTCATTTATAAGTGAAATAGCACAAGTTCTTGAAACATCGACAGGTGGGAAGGAACTAATAAAACAGTCCTGATTAATGTCAAAACTGGGTGGAGCTCATGGAACTTGTATTTAGTTTGATATTCACTTTGTAACACAAGAGTCTGTCTTTGTGTCTACATTTAGCCCGTAACCTTATAATTAGGTATGCTGAATAGGTGAACAGCAGAGAGAGTGGACCTGTATGTCACAGAATGAGATACTTTATTTTTCTTATTTAGAATTTCCATTGATAGTCTGTGATTTTAACAATTCATTCTTGGAACATCTTGCAGAGCCTCCTTCGTGGCATGCTGAATTTACCAAAGAAGAGCTGGTGCAGAAACTCAGTTCCACCACGAAAAGTGCAGATCACTTAAACGGCTTGCTTCGGGAGACAGAGGCAACCAATGCAATCCTCATGGAACAAATTAAGGTGAGGTCACAGAACTGGCCGCTGCAGTGGCACAAGCAAAGGGCACCACTGTGTGGCGGCGGCGGTCAGATGAGAGACCTGAGTTCAGTTCCCAGACCAGAGCTTAAGTTCTTGAAGCTCTATTGCAGTGTGAGAGAATTTGGTTCAGTGTCTTAATAAGGCTCACAGGCAGTCTTTTTTTAGGCTATTATTTTTAGAAGACCCATAATGTGGACTGTGGAGGGTTTGTCTTTAGTCAGTGAAACACAAACAGCATTATTTACCTGATGCAAATACTTTGGCATAAAGTTTTAAAGTCTGACAGAGTTTAGTTATTTCAATTTGTCTAGAAATGTCTCATGAGAGAGACACATTTTTTGATAACCTTTTGATTACCGTTACAGCATTACTTTTTTTTTTATGGAAAAGTCTCTATACAACTAAAAAATATAAAAAATATATTGTGAAAATGACAACGAATGAAATTTTTAAATAATATTTAAATGGCATATTAGATGGTAGAAATGTACCATTAATTTTTTTAATCTGGGTTTTTTTTGATGAATCAGGAAGCATAGAGGTTTTAAATAATGAGCTATAAGGTGGGCTCAGAGAGAACTAGGCAGTTGTCCCTAGGCTCTCCATGAGTCCATGTTTAATGTTGGATTTATGTTTTTTATACCAATTTAGATGTATAGCATTGTTTATTAAATTGATTGTCATGGGTAATTTGACTTAGATTAGTTTTATGGAATTTATTTAAATTACATATTTTAACAATTTACTTTCGATCTTCGCCATGGCCAGAAGTACTATATAGCTTAACAATTTTGATATTGGCTACTTAGCATGTAATTTTGTCAACTATTTCTTGCTTTTGATTAATTTTGGTTTTGTTTCATGGTTGGGATAGCAGATCAGAAAACCAACTAGTTGGGTTTTTTATAGAAAATGGAGATTTTTACACAGTTAAATGATTAGATTATTAGAAACCTGTATTTATAAGAGTACTTTTTTTTTTTGGAGAGGTTTTTGCTATAGGGCGCATGCACTCACCAGACAGAGAGATACAGAGATAGAGACAAAAAGCTAGAAATCACCCCCCACGGGGGATGGTCACACCGCAATCCCTTCTCCTCCATTCTCATCTCGGGATCTTGGGCACGCACTCACATGCGCCCGGCGTGAGTTTTAAGCCACCAGGTCTGGGACTCGAACCACGATCGACTACATGGGAGTCCAGCAACATAGCCATTACGCTAACTGCTGGTCCCAAGAGTACATCTTTTGTGAGTACATGTGTGTGACTTTTTATAAAGACATAACACATTAGGATTATAGGCATTTGCAAAAAGCTTTTAAAAAAGCATCAAAACAATTACTCCTGGACAGTAAGACTTGAACCAACCATAGTTAAAGATCTGACAAGAGTTTATAACTGAAAAAGAAATTTGGCTATATCTGTGACGGAGACCAATTTAGCATAATAACCACAATATGATTGATCACATAAATTTTTTGGAATCTCAATTTATTTTGGCACATATTACATGTGTAAATATACACATAAGCACACATATATATAACATGTCTGTGCACATAATTCAAATGAAATGTAAAGAAAATATAAATTTTTCAATTTCACAATATTTCCCCTATCATTTAACATATTAAAATAAGTCTAATTTGTTCTAACATCTCTTTTGTATGTGTCAGGGCCCTCTGTAAACATCCAAAAGTTGCTTTAAGATAAAATAATTTAGAATTCAATTTTGGAGAAACCTTGTCAAATGTAGTAAAAAGTTTAAATACTTAACTGTCAGCAGAAAATGAAAGTTAAATGTTCTCCAAGCACCTTAGAGATGAAAAAAAAGGGTTAACTCACTGTCTGTTGTCACCAAAACTAAAAACAGAATACATGGCAGACTGTAGCATCCAGATACGACACCCAGAGATAGCAGTGAAACAACCCAAAGACCAGCATACGGATCACACATAAAATTTCCCTTAGAAGATTTGGGCTTTATCACTTTTAGTCATTAGTCCTATAACTGAACCTTAAAAGAGCCAAAAGTTGGACTTTAGGAAAATCAATCTTATTTAATAGCACTTAAAACTTTTTTTTGACCATTTTACTATGATTGTGAGAATCAAAATATTAGAGAAGGCTAGTCATTAATTCATTTTTCATGTTGGTCAGATATCTACTATGTAACATATATAAATATCAGCTGTTTTATTAATTTAGCCATATTGAGAGAATTTCTGTCTGATCAATAAGCCCAGAACAAACTGTATGTTAGAATTGTGAAGATCTTAATTTACTCCTTAGTGGTACAAAGCTTCCTCCCCTCCCCCCCACTCTCCCCCCTGCACCCCCAGCCCAGGCTCTTCCTGTTTTTACCCCGTCTTTTCATTCGTAATGAAAGCTGCAGCCCAGAGCCTGGCTGTTTCTGAAGCCAATCTTTGGACTGGCACTTGGATCCTGGTGTTGGTGCTCCACAGCAGCCCTGTCCAAACTTTTCCGAAACCCGGAGGCAGCCAAGAGAAGTTTCTACGTAAAGAGAATTAAGTGCAGAAAGACTTTTGAATGAACAGATTGCTGAAGCAGAAACAGACAAGATTTAAAAAAAAAAAATACTCTCCAGAAACCAAACCAGGTGAAAGCAGGTATTCTTTTGTTGATAGCTTGAGCCTGCTAAAGGCAATAACAGAAAAGGAAAAAAATGAGAAGGAAAGACAGTCCATAAGAAGCTCCCCATTTGATATAAATTGAACGTGGAAGATGTTGATTTAACCAAGTGTCAAGGACTGGTTCATGATTATGATTCAACTACGAGTGGATTGGATCATAAGTTTCAAGATGATCCGGATGGCCTTCATCAGCTAGATAGAACACCTTTAACTGCTGAAGACATTGTCCATAAAATCGCTACCAGCATTTATGAGGAAAATGACAGAGGAGTGTTTGACAAGATTGTTTCTAAGCTGCTGAATCTTGGCCTCATCACAGAAAGCCAGGCACATACACTGGAAGATGAAGTAGCACGTTTTACAAAAATTAGTCTTAAAAGAAGCCAACAATTATGAGGAGGAGCCCAATAAACCCACGAGCAAGTCTGAGAATCAGGCTGGAAAAATACCAGAAAAAGGGACCCCAACGGCAGCAATTCAAGATGAGAGTTTGCAAAAGAGAGAAACACTGATAACTATGATGAAGACTCTGATATTTTGTGAAGATGATGGTGAAGTATGGCACGGCATCTCCAGAAAAAGGTATTGCCTACCTTGAAAACTTGGATGAAATGATTGCCCTTCAGACCAAGAACAAGCTGGAAATAAATGCTACTGACAATAAAAGCAAACTTTCCCCAGTGCCGTTAGAGAAGAGTCACGATGAAACACAATACCAAGGAGGAAGCTGCTAAGATGGAGAAGAGATATGGAATCTTGAAGGATTCCACAGAAGAGGGTAACTCCAACCCAGGAGGAAAGACAGGAACACCCAGGGGGGGAAAAATGGAAGCTATCTGAATAAATATTGAATGGTGGAAGAAATATGACAAAAAAGGAAATAAAGAAGATTATGACCTTTCAAAGATGAAAGACCCCGTCAGCCAGCAAGCTGCTGCCTACAGGCAGAAAGGCGTCCTCAACGAAGAGGAAGCCAGCCTGGCAGCTTGGCCGCAGACCTGGGGTCTTTCAAGGGTGTGGGAAAACAAGATGGCGTACAACACTTCAGTCCCGTGATGGAAGTTTTTGACCCAAGGATCACTAGAACATGCTGAATTTACAATAATTAACCTTTTAGAAGTAGTTAAAACATAGCTCTCTTGCCATAAAACTACCTGAAAAGTAAAGATATAGGTAAGCTGGGAGAAAGGCAAAGCACTTGTGGAGATCTTTACTTAGTAAACTTCTCTTTATATTAAACTGGCTTATTTAAGTCACATGAGCTTGAAAAGCATTTAAATTCATTTGTACGAACGCTCTGTTTAGAAATGGAATGGAATTCTTTAACGCTTTTTATCACACAGACGTATAACATGTAACATATATGCATATACACACATAGAGAAACAAGAGATTTTATAGTTTTTTGAAAAGTTTTTTATGCTTTTCTCCTCTCCAAAACGAGAAAAGTCTTTGCAGATCCCTGCATCAAACGGAGGATCTCAGAGTTGTCTTGATTAGCTCCCCCCGGCTCCCTCAGCCTTGTCAGACAGTGCTTATCTCCACGCTCCTTGCAAAGAACTAAACTGGTCATTTTTTTCCACTTGTCTAGAGGAGAAACTCCTTAATGCTGTGACTGATATAACCGGATTTTTTTTCGTCTGTCAACCATGAATAATTTGCTTTTACTTTCGTATATACCCTTAATCACAAATGTCTTAGCATTACTTTCTAATTATTAATTTTGCCATTAATTGCTCTAACCCTCATGTTTACGTAGTAGGTAAAACAAGGTAGAAAGTGTATATTTTAAACCACACATTTACAGATACAGGATGATTACAGGAGAGAATCGTACGCGGGTTAATTGCCAGGGGGCAGGTGTCCCGATTAGACAGGAGGGGTACTCCCAGGAGGCAGGGGTCACGCAGCAATCCCTGTGTCCGTTTTGTCCCTACTAGTGGCGTTTAGGGCATGCATACATAGGCCTTTCCAAGGAGCACGCGAAGGCTGGGTTTCTTTAAGCAGTGCCCTGAACAGCTGCACTGTGTTGGCTTAAGTCGCACATTTAAACTGACACATTTTGCACTGTAAGAAACTTTAGGGACCTACCAGGGATGTATTTATAAATATGTGGAATTTTTTCCAATATTTTTAAATAGACTCTAATTTGCCAGAAGGTTTTATTTTTGAAGACCAGTTTAATTGATGTGTGGCCTTTTAAACTCAGCACGTTTTTTAATTACTGATTTTTTTTTTTTTTTTTGAGAAATTTTTGTCATGGGGAGTGAGCACTCATCAGAGAAATACAAAGAGACAGAGACAAAAAGAGAGAAGCCGCCCCCTCAGGATAGATGGCCATGTCACAGTCCCTTCTCTACACTTTTCTCGGGATTTGGGGTATGCACCCATCGCACCTGCATGAGTTTAAGCCACCTGGTCCAGGACTTGAATCGCAGTCGACTACGTGGGAGTCCAGGATGTAACCATTATGCCGTCTGCTGGTCCCTGTTAGTTACTGATTTTAAGGTGGTGCCCATTAATGAAGGCAAAGGAACCATTTTTAACATTTGTAATTTAGCATGGATATTGCTCAGATATTGTTTAACAAGCAGCAACCCAGTTTGACCTGTAGGTGTATTTTGAATGATTCTGAGTCTTTTATCTAGCTAGCTTTTTGCTCTGGGCAGGCAGGTAACAAACAAAAACTTTGGTTGAACTTTTTTATGTCACTTGGGCCTATCATTTATTTTTTTATAGAGTCTAAAATGATAAAATAGAATTAAATCTTTCATAAGCTTCTGCATATCAATGGGCATCTCTGGATGGACCTAAATTGGGAACCCACAATGTTAATTATGCTTTTTAAAGATTTTGCTTATATAGAATGATCTTCATAATGGCCCTAATCATTTCAAATCACATTACTAAAATCTCACCACTTTTGTAAATATTGGTGCTCCCAGGAAGCACTTTGACCTTTAGCATTAGGAATTCCATCTTTACATACATTTTGAGTCTCTTCAACCCAAGAAAAACCTAAGTGGGAAATAATTTATCCTGGCATTGGCTTTGAGCCCTCCTTTACCAATTTAATCAATGATCTTTTTTCTAAGCATGCAGAAATAAACGCCTAGCTGCTGTGATTGGCTCTAACCTAGCGACCAGCTCAGGAAAACAGCCTACCATGTATAGTTTTGGCTTATCCATAGCAATCAAAGTGTGGGAGTACAGTGGCTGTTTTAGGCCAAAATAGTTGAACAGTCTTTGTTTCACATAATGCTGAAATGAAACTGGAGTGGGTATGGGTCCTTGAATTCTAAAGTCTAAATGGAGCAGAGTTAAGTAAGATCACTCAGGCACTGCTGGTGGCACTGGAATACTTCGCGCAGTTTTAGGTAACAGTGGCAATGCGGCATTAATCACTGATGAGAGCAATTGAAGCAGGTAAATGGGGAAGCAGGCTTCAGACCCCTGGCACGCCTGAGTCTGCTCTGCACTTGGCTGCTGCAGAAAGGCCCACTGTGCCTGGTGCAGGGCCCGGCTATCGGCAGGGTGGTGCTTTCAGTGCTGAGTCATGGTGATGTAGGTGAGCCGCATGAGTCATGGCATTCACCACGTTCCCCTCCCCTGACACTGAGTGTGCAGCTACAGGAAATAGCACTTTCCCACCAGCCGAAAGGTTAAAATATTAACAAATCACTAGCCTAGCCAACTTACTTACATGTTCTGTTTCCACAGATGTATACTTTCATTGCTACTTTTTTAAATGACCCCAAATTTTGAGACCAGAACTGACCTAAACTGACAAAATACAACATACACCAAAAGCAGCAGCAGCTTTATTTCAGCCCACACATGCTCCTCACATACTTTGACTTGCTCCTGTACTGCCTTTTCCGTATCATCCTTTGCCGTTTCTCCACTAGTATTTTACACTGTCTTACATTCCTGGGCTTTTGCTGTGTCCCAAACCCAACTTTTGTTTGGCAGGGCACTGTTTACTGTGATGTCTTAACCGCAAAACATTTTCAAACACATTTCTCTAACACCAGCTGCTAAAAAGTGAAATAAGAAGATTGGAAAGAAACCAGGAGCGGGAGAAGTCTGTAGCTAACCTGGAGTACTTGAAGAACGTCATGCTGCAGTTCATCTTCCTGAAACCGGGCAGCGAGAGGGAGAGGCTCCTCCCCGTCATCGACACCATGCTGCAGCTCAGCCCTGAGGAGAAGGGGAGGCTGGCTGTGATCGCCCAGGGTGAGTGGCAGAGGGGGGCCGGCAACTCTGTCATGTGGCCTCCACTGAACGGTGGTCCTGGCCTGAGCGCTGGTCTGCATGTGTGCTTCCTTACAGCCCCGATGACACCGTGACTTTTAAAATACAGTTTTCAGGGCCACAGGTAGATCCCAGCGATTGAGCTGTTCAAGTCTCAGATCTAATGGCATGCCTTAAATCCTAAGATGAGAATAGAGGAGAAGGGATGGTGGTGTGGCCATCCCCCCAGGGGAGTAATTTCTCACTGTCTCTCTCTGGCAAGCACACGCACCCTATGGCAAAACTGCCCCCAAAAAGAAACAAAAACATATATATGTTATGTATGCAACTTCCAAATTTTATTCATTTGGATTGGTTCTATTATATGTAGCCTATAACTGGATTTGAAAGGCTGATTTTGTTTTTAGGTTTTTGCCATAGGAGGCATGCACTCACCAGAGAGACAGAGACAGAGAGAAGGAAACAGAAATCACCCCCCAGAGGGAATGGCCACATCACGATCCCGTCTCCATTCTCCTCTCAGGATTTTGGCACACATGCACACGCACCCAACATAATTTTCAAGCCACTGGGTCTGGGACTCAGACCAGATTGTCCATGTGGGTCAGTCCAGTGCCTTATCCACACACACGCAAGACAGCGTGTTCTTTTTATTTTTTTTAAGGTTTATCATACTTTTTTTTTTAGAATTATTTTATTTTATTTACTTATTTCTATTTGACCAGAGAGGGACAGAGTGAGAGAGAGCAAGAGAAACAGAAAGTGAGAACGCAGCCACCGGGTCCAGAACTCACACTGTGACTGGCCACGTGAGAGTCCTTCACCACCACACCACCTGCATGTTCTTCAGGCTGCTGGCTGGGACTTTTAACCGTAGTCGGCCATAATGAGCCAGGTTCCTTAATCAAGAGGCTATAGGGCTAGCATATCATTTTTTTTAAATGTGTATTGGCTTGTTCCTGTCCTGCTTCACCCATTTCCCCACTTCCAGATAGTCCAGGGACAGAAAGGCAGTATGACGCAGCACTTGGTCCTCAGTCCACTGTCCAGGTGGATGCCTCTGTAAGGCTCTCCTGGGGTCGAGGTGCGGGTTTTCATATCAGAGAGAGTTAATGCTGTGACATCAGAAACTCCCAAAATGCTTCACGTACAGCTGCTGCGTTGCCTGATTTCATACTGCATCGTAACGATCATTGTGTGGCTTTGTTTTAGTTTTAAAACGCTTTCATTGTTGATATTTAAGAGAGTTGTTTTTTTGGTTTTTGGGGTTTTTTTCTCCATAGGGTACATGCACTCACCAGAAAGACAGACAGAAAATGAGAAATCACTGCCCAGGAGGGATGGCCACGCCTCAATCCATTCTCCTCTCAGGATTTTGGGCATGCACACACACGCATCCCACATGAGTTTTAAGCCAAGATTCAAATCGCAGTCGACCATATGGTAGTCCACTGGTATAACCATTATGACATCTGCTGGTCCCTCCATGTTCCTTGGTAAAATGTGCCACTTACTTGAAGAAATAGGTCATTCGAACTATTGGGTTGTTGGGAAAATGCGTCATGAGTTTTCCGACGACCTAATATAGCACTCCTGTTACGTTCTGGATTTGATACTTTTAACATTGGACTCATTTGAAAGTTCCGTTCTTTCATGAGAACAACAAGGAGAGGCATGCCCTCGGTAGGATTTAGCATGCTACCATTCGCCCCTGGCCTTCGAGCCAGGCAGGAGCGCACACACCTGGTGTGTTCCATGTTGAGCCTAGACTTCGACCCCCAGTCTTCCCCGTGGCCAGCGTTGCAGAGCGGTGTCCTGCCTGTCCCACCCCGGCAAGGCCAGCGCTGTGTGCTTTCCAAGACATCCTTAGTAGGCCCAGCAAACCAGGCACCCCACTCTTGCCTGATTTGCCTCATCTCGGTGGTGGTCTCCAATATGTTGCTCTGTCCACTGCAAATCCTAACTGAACTAAGGTAGAATGGGAATTGTCCTTGGGACCAGCAGATGGTGTACTGGTTACGTCTCTGGACCCCCACATAATCAACCATGGTTCAAGTCCTGGAACCAGTGGCTTAAAACTCAGGCTGGGGGTGCCCAAGGTCCCAAGAGGAGAATGGAGAAGCGATTGTGGCGTGGCCATCCCACTAGGGGGTGATTTCTCCCTTTCAGTCTGTCTCTGTCTCTCTGGTGATTACATGTGCCCTATAGCAAAAAATCTCTCCCAAAAAGACAGACAATTATCCTCAAACTGAGTAGGCGGAGAATCCTCTCTCTCATACGCTTTCTCAGACTCAGCCTGCCCAGGGACCAACTGTTGGTGTAATGGCTATGTCGCTGGACTCCCATGTAGTCAACTGCGGTTCAAGTCCTGGACCCAGTGGCTTAAACACATGCCAGGCACGTGTGCGTATGTGCCCAAGATCCTGAGAAAAAAATGGAGGAGAAGGGATTGTGGCATGGCCATCCCCTCTGGGGGGTGATTTCTTGCTGTCTCTCTCTCTATTTCTGGCGAATGCAAACACCCTATAGCAAAAACCTCTCCAAAAAAAAAAAAAAACTCAGCCTGCCAGACCACCCTCCTTACCCCTGTTTTTAACTCAGGGTTTTGAATCTTTAACAAATTCATGCTGATACATCAGCACCCTTAAGAACTCCTAATCTAGAAGCCTGTCAGGCTCCGTTTTTCTACAGGTACAGTACTGATGGTTTCTTTGAACCTGTTTTCCCACAACACGTATTTCTGATGCTGAGGGAAGAATGTTCTCAAGACTAGTTAGAGATTACTACATAGTAATCTCAGTTCTGCAAACTATAAGAGACTTTTCTGTAGTCACAATAGTGTTTATGTCATAAGACCAAAAATAAAAATACGTCATGTATATTTTTAGTACTATAGTATCCTAAATTACAAGTTTGCTTTTATGCACTGTTTTTAATTCATTTATTTTTAGTCTATCAAAACTAAGCTTTTTTGCTATAGAGTGCATGTGCTTACCAGAGAGACAGAGAAAGAAAGAAAATTAGAAAGCACCTTCCTGGGGGTGGGAGGTGGCCACACCACAATCCCCTCTCCTCTTTTCTCTTCTCAGGATTTTGGGCATGCATGCATACGTGCCCAGTGTGATTTTCAAACCACCAAATCCAAGACTCAAATTGTATGGTCAGCCATGTAGGACCCAGCTCCCTAACCACTATACCACTGGCTGACCCAAGACTAAACATTTTCATATTATAAAATTAGACAAGACTTTCAAGAGGATGCACTATATTTTTTAATTAAAATTAGCATTCATTAGAATAGTATGTATGATCTTAAAATATTAGCATGTCTCATAATCCTCTTTTACAAGCTCAGCATAGGGTCCAGCAGGTGTCACTAGACCTCCACATGGCTGACCGTGGTTCGAGTCCCAGATGCAGTGGCTTGAAAACCACACCAGGTACGTGTGCGTGTGTGCCCAAAATCCCAGGAGGAGAGTGGAGGAAAAGGGATTGTGGTGTGGCCATCCCTCCAGGGGGTGATTTCTCACTTTTCCTCTCACCGTGTCTGTCTCTTCAGTGAGCACATGAGCCCTAAGGCAAAAACCTCTAGTAATAATAAATGAGTGAATGCCCAGCATAATTCCATAGAGTATATGTGGGTGCTTCTCAGTTTACAGTGAGTCTTTAAGGACATCTCTATAGAGCCATCATAATTCAAAATATGGTGTCATCTAAAATGCATTTAACATACCAGCAGGTAGCTTGGTGGTTAAGACAGCTGGATTTCACATGGCCAACTGTGCAGTTCAAGTCCTGGACCTGGCAGCTTGAAAATCATGCTGGATACTTGTGCACATGTGCCCAAAATCCTGAGGGGGGAAGCTGGGGAAGAAGGGACTGCAGCATGGCCATACCTTCTCATGGGGGTGCTTTCTCACTTTGTCTCTCTTTATCTTTAACTCTTTCTGTCTCTCTCCCCCCACCAAGTGCACATACCCTATAGCAATTTCTTATTTAATAATAAATTGTTGTTAAACTGTCATAAAGTTAAAAACTTGTTCATTGGACCCTCTTCATAAGTCCAAATACCCCTTAATGATGAACTTCTTGACTTAACATCGGGTTACATCCTCATAAACCCACTGTAAAGCGAAAATAATGTAAGTTGAAGCATGGTAAGTCCAGGTGTTCCTCAGCTTGTGGTAGTTATATCCCCAGTAGATATTTTGTAAAATCAAAAACAACTATGTTCGGGAACCAGCAGTTGGCGTAATGGCTATGTCGCTGGATTCCCACGTAGTCGACCGCCGTTTGTGTCCCGGACCCGGTGGCTTAGAACTCACGCCGGGCGCGTGTGCGTGCGTGCCCAAGATCCCGAGAGGAGAATGGAGGAGAAGGGATTGCGGCGTGACCATCCCCTCTGGGGGGAGATTTCTCACTTTCTGTCTCTATGTCTCTCTCTGTCTGTCTGGCGAGCGCACGTGCCCTATAGCGAAAACCTCTCAAAAAAAAAAAAAAAAAAAAAAAAACCAACTATGTTGAAACATTACCAGTAGGGGGCTGTGTATACAGAAGTTCATTAGAAACTCAGAACTCCAGACATGCTTTTGCCAAGTTTTATAAACGTATAGGAAAACTACTTACTAAGCTTCAATTATTTGCCCTTTAAAAGTTACTTACTGGGACCAGCAGATGCCGTAATGGTTATGTTGCTGGATTCCCACATGGTTGACCACAGTTTTAGTTCCAGACCTGGCAGCTTGAAACTCAGGCTGGGCACATGTTCATGTGTGCCCAAAACCCCAAGAAGAGAAGGGTTTGCATTGTGGCCATCCCCGCTGGGGGGGGTGATTTCTCACTTCCTGTTTTTCTTTCTCTCCTGGGCAAGTACACATGCCCTGTAGTAAAAATCTCTCAAAAAAAAAAAAAATTTACTTTGGGAACAGCAGATGGTGCAGCAGTTATGTCACTGGACGCCCACATGGCTCACCATGGTTTGAGTCCCAGACCCAGTGGCTCAAAATTCACCCCAGGCCTGTTGGCATGTATGCCCGAGATCCTGGGAGGAGAACAGAGAAGAAGGGATTGTGGCATAGCTATCCCCTGGGAACGATTCTCGCTTTCCCTCTCACTGTGTCTGTCTCTCTTGCGCTCTCTAGCAAGCACATGCACCTCTTTAAAATGGGCCAGCAGGCAGCGTGGTGGTTAAGGTGCTGGACCCACATGGCCGACTGAGGTTTGAGTCCTGTATCTGATAACTTGAAAATCATGCCAGATGTGTGAGAGTATGTTCAAAATCCCAAGACAAGAATGGAGGAGAAAGTATTGTGGCATAACCATCCCTGCAGGAGGGGTGATTTCTCACTTTCTCTGTGTGTCTCTCTGGTGAGCACACACACCCTATAGCAAAGCTTACATGTATATGTCTAAATTACATGATGTTCTTATTGTCAACGATACTTAGTTGTGCTAGGAACTTTATTTTGAAATTATTAGTAGAGAAAGATTGAATGCTCAGGATATCAGTATGTGACATCGAAGCATGGTATGAGAAGGCAGTATTTCAGAATCATGGAGGCATTTCTCATCTGCTTTTTTTTTTTTTTTTTTTTTTTTTTTTTTTTTTTTTTTTTTTTTTTTTTTTTTGAGAGGTTTTTGCTATAGGGCACGTGAGCTCGCTGGAAAGACAAACAGAAAGTGAGAAATCACCCCCGGGAGGATGGCAATCCCTTCTCCTCCATTCTCCTCTCGAGATCCTGGGCACACATGCACATGCACCCACCATGAGTTTAAGCCACCAGGTCCGGGACTCGAACCGTGGTCGACTACATGGGAGTCCAGCGACCTAGCCATTAAGCTAACTCCTGGTCCCAGAAAGTGAGAAATCACCCCCTGGGGGGATGGCCACATGTCAATGTGTTCTCCATTCTCCTCCTAGCATCTTGGGCATGCACGCACATGCGTACAGCTTGAGCCCTGGGTCCAGGACTCGAACCACAGTTGATTATGTGGGAGTCCAGTGATATAACCGTTATGCCATCGGCTGGTCCCTCTCATCTGCTTTTAATACCATTTATTTATAGAGGATCATTTCCGCATAAATTTCATAGCTAGATTTTTTTTTAATTAGGCCATTTGAAGGTTACATTAAAATATGAAACGTCAAAGTAGGTATTATATTGGCACAACTGAGGGAATTCAGTGTCATAGCCTTTAAGAAGAGAAATTTAGAAGAGTTGAGACCAACAGATGGCGTAATGGTTACGTCTCTAGACTCCCATGTGCTTGACTGTGGTTCAAGTCCCTGAACCGGTGGCTTAAAGCAGGCAAATGTGCATGTGGCTCCAGAACCCTGAGAGGAGAAGGGAGGGGAAGGGACTGCAGCGTGGCCCCCACCCCCATCCACTTCCTGTCTCTGTCTCTCCGGCAAGCCCACACGCCCTATACCAAAAACTTCTCTTGAAAAAAAAAAAGTCCTTTGTCTAAAGGAATGACATATCATTAGTGAAAGACATTATTCGCTCATGTTGTGGAATAGTTTTAGAATACACATTTCATTGATAAAATTTAATGTTTGTTTGTTTTTAACTTTCCAAAGGTGAGGAAGAAAATGCTTCCCGTACTTCTGGATGGGCATCCTATCTGCATAGTTGGTCTGGACTTCGGTAGACTGATGGGAAAAAATTCTTTATTAACCAAATAGATTCCACGCGGTAAAATGGGTTTATGTATATTACTCATTCTTTGTCAAAAAGTGTGTGTATATGTTCACATCTACGTATATTTGTACATATACATGACAGATATATTTAAAGACTCTCAGCTTGAAGTAAAGATAAAACAGCGAGACGTTGCTGCCAGCCTCGCCCACTAGCCCACCCACAGAGACGGGCCGCGGTGTCTGGGACCCCGTACACGCTGCCAGGATGGAAAGGCCAGGAGGGAACTCACTTCCCTCTGGAGCCTCAGGACCTGCCCATTTCTCGGCAATACTGTGAATTTTGAAGTTAAACTAAATTTGGCACCATGCCAACTGAAATTCAGGCCCTTAAAATAATGTTTCAAGACTTTTGCAAGGTCAGGCTTTCAGGTCGGTTGTTTTTAATTATAAGTTGTTGAGAAAATCGGGTAATTAGAATATGAAGGAAAATGCTGTATTGATAAATTGACTGTTGCTTATTAAAGAAATACGTGAAGTAAATATGCTGCTGTTAATTATGAGGTTGTTGAGATGCAATTTATTTAGTTACTTGCTTTCAAGTAAACTACTCTTTTTCTTTCTCATGTATATTATCTCAAAACTCATTATATTGGGACCAGTAGGTGGAGTGGTGGTTAAGGTGCTGGATTCCTACATGGCCAACCACTATTCAAGTTCGAATCCCAAACCTGGCAGCTTGAGGTTAAGCCAGGTGCATGTGCACACACGCCCAAAATCCCAGTAGGAGAATGGAGGAGAAGGAGTTGCAGCATGGCCATCCCCCACGGAGGGTGATTTCTTACTGACCCTCCCTCTGTCTCTCTGATGAGCACACACACCTTATGGCAAAAAATATATATATAACTTTAATTACTGACTTAAAAAGAGAAAAAGAGGAAAACCCCGCCTTGTGATCAGAAGCCTGGTGCAGCAGTAGGAACGGATGGATGACTCGTGGTATCTGCCCAGGCTCTGGTGAGGGCACCACGTCTCACAAGTCGCGAGTCTTTGAAAATTCTCTCCATCTCCCGAGTACAAACATGTCACCTCCTTACTGTCCTTGAAACCAGCACTCCGGGTCGGCGTCACTCCAAGAAAAGGGGCTGGAAAGCGGCCTCACAGATGCGTTGACAGTAGCCCCAGCTGCTAGTGTTATTTGCCTGCGATGCCTCTGAGTATATTTTATTCACCAGATCAAAATCCTATCCTTCGATTATAAATCTGAGAATTCTATTTTAATACTTACTTATTAATAAGTCACCGCACGGTATGCTCTCTGGTGTTCTCTTAATCTTCCAATTTGTACTCCAGTTTTCCAGTCACTAATTTTTAATTTAATATAACTGAAACTTGCTGCTGACATGTGGAGTTTGTTCTTATCTCCTGCTCCTCCTGTCTTAGAAGAACAGACCTAACTAGTGAATGTATTCATGAAAATGTATCTATTTCAGAGCTGACTAAGATTTTAGTTTTTTCTCTTCACAAGCTGTGAGTTTGAGTATGCCAGCAGCATACAGTGTAGCTGCAATAGTATTTAAATAAATGTCACTTTGTCTTTGAGTCTGGGCCTTTTGAGATCTATCTAAACTTGTTTTGAAACATAGTTCCTACTTATGAATGTAATAACAAATACCTTTCGCATGATAAAAATTATTACTTTGGTTACAAACGGTGTATCCTTTATTTCAGTAATGAGAGGAAATGTAATGATTATTTTAATATTTCTATTAAATACGTTTAACTGTATATTTTCATGGCTGCTCTCTTTCTGTCGGACATTGTCTCTTTGGGGTTTTAAGCTGGTTTCTAAACTGGAATTACACACTTACACAGTGTGGACCTCCCGTGTCGCGGAGCCTGTGCCGCCTGCCCTGTCCGACTCCGTCATTGCACAAAGCTGGGAGCAATACCAGGCTTGTGTTCGGGCAAGATAGCCATCGGGTTGACTAGAGACAACGCTGCCAGCTGCGTGTGACCTTAGTACAAGGCTCTGATCAGCTAGAGCAGAGATCCTTAACTTCTTTGAAGCTGTGGACTTGACTATAAGGAGGGACAGAGAGGGAAATGGATACCAAAGAAAGGGGAAGCAGCCCAACCACAGAAGGGAGTGGTCAGGGCCACCAGGCCCAGGGTGGACTCTAGTGGAAAGCAGGTCTCCAGCCCTAGTCAAGGCTGGGAATGGGTAGGTGCCATGTCACTCCCTGCTTTCTTAGAGCCCCATTCAGACTGCCTGAGGAGCAGGAATTTATGCACTGTCTCAGTCTCCTGAGCTGCTCTGGGATTTGGGCATCTCGTCTCCAGGGAACATTGGCTTGTACTGCAAAGGTGTAAGATTGAGAATTAAATTCCTTTACACGAACATGAGCAGAATTGTAACAACTAATAGCAACACTTAAAGTTTACTAAGACATATGGTACTTTATTTTTAATAAGTATTGTATATGTATTTGAGGTTTACAGTAGGATATGGGATTCCTAGAGAGAGAGAGACAGCAGCATGTACATGGTACAGTGGTGGCTGTATAGAGAGCACACCACCATCTCACATTATTCCTTCTTTTGTGTGACAAGAATAACCAAAATCTACCTATTTAACAAAAATACCTATTTCTTTTTTTCTTTTTAGGGGGAGAGGTTTTCACTATACGGCGCGTGCACTCACCAGACAGAGAGAGACAGAGATAGAGACAGAAAGCGAGAAATCACCCCCTAGGGGTATGGTCACACCACAATCCCTTCTCCTCCATTCTCCTCTCAGGATCTTGGGCACACATGCACACGCGCCCGACGTGAGTTTTAAGCCACTGGGTCCGGGACACGAACCGCGGTCAACTACGTGGGAATCCAGTGACATAGCCATTACACTAACTATGTTCTTTTTTCTTCTTTCATGAGAGAGAAGCATCACATTATGGTCTTCGTGCAGTATTCCACCCTTAGTCTCAGTCAGCCCAGGGCCCAAGTGCACACCTGACAGGCCCAAAGTAGCCCTCAGGCTGTGTCCAAGACCTTTCCTCTGTGGGCCCAGCTGTGAACCACCGTACACCACATGGATCCGTGTCCTTTTGTCAGCAAGCAGAGCGCTAACGTTTTGTTTCATGGGACATTTGTATTTTTTTGCTAGTCTCAATTTCTTTTTTTCTGGTCTTTATTGTTTCTTACCTTCTGCAAATTTTAGTTTGGGTCATTGCTTTTCTAGCTCCTGAGGTTCATCATTAGGTTGTTTATTTGAGATCTTTATTTTCTTGATGTGGTTATTTATTGCTATAGACTTCCTTCTTAGTACCACTTTTGCTGTGTTTCATAGGTTTTGCTATGTTGTGTTTTCTTTTTCACTTGTTTCAAGAAATTTTTAAATTCCCTTTTAATTTGCTTATTGACCCATTCAGTGATTGTTTGGAGCATTCTGTTTTAATTTCGATGTATTTGTGCAGCTTCCGAAGTAGTACTTGTTTTTTTGTTTTTGTTTCTTTTTTATTTATTTCTGAAACTTTTTTTAATTAACTCATTCATTCCCTAAGTATTGTCACAGCATACAAAATGTGATTTCCCGTCCAGAATGTATTGCATAATGGCTTAATCATGCATGTTATCATCAATAATTTTCCATTTCTAATATACATACACACACACACACACACACATATATTTTTTTACCCCTATTTCTGACCCTCTGCCCTTTCCCATCCTCCTCCCTCTCTATCCCTGGTGTCTACCGTCCTCCATCCTCTTTCCCATCCTCCTCCCACACTCTCCCTGGTGTCTACCATTGTCCTCCATCCTCTTTCCCATCCTCCTCCCACACTCTCCCTGGTGTCTACCGTCCTCCGTCCTCTTTCCCATCCTCCTCCCACACTCTCCCTGGTGTCTACCGTCCTCCGTCCTCTTTCCCATCCTCCTCCCACACTCTCCCTGGTGTCTACCGTCCTCCGTCCTCTTTCCCATCCTCCTCCCACACTCTCCCTGGTGTCTACCGTCCTCCGTCCTCTTTCCCATCCTCCTCCCACACTCTCCCTGGTGTCTACCGTCCTCCGTCCTCTTTCCCATCCTCCTCCCACACTCTCCCTGGTGTCTACCGTCCTCCGTCCTCTTTCCCATCCTCCTCCCACACTCTCCCTGGTGTCTACCGTCCTCCGTCCTCTTTCCCATCCTCCTCCCACACTCTCCCTGGTGTCTACCGTCCTCCGTCCTCTTTCCCATCCTCCTCCCACACTCTCCCTGGTGTCTACCGTCCTCCGTCCTCTTTCCCATCCTCCTCCCACACTCTCCCTGGTGTCTACCGTCCTCCGTCCTCTTTCCCATCCTCCTCCCACACTCTCCCTGGTGTCTACCACTGTCCTCCATCCTCTTTCCCACATTTTATTGATCATGCAATTGGTGTCTACCGTTGTCCTCCATCCTCTTTCCCATCCTCCTCCCTCACTATCTCTGGTGTCTACCGTTGTCCTCCATCCTCTTTCCCATCCTCCTCCCTCACTATC